GTTTTGAACCTCTTAGCATGGACCCATTGTGTCCTGTTTAACTACAGCCTAGGGCATAGAATGAAGGTCCATCTCCCTCGTCTCAGACACACAGCTCCCGCTTGGAGCAAATATGTTATCCATGCATGCATTCATAAACCCTTCAATCCCGCAAATGAGCCCCCTGCTCCGGCTGTCACTTGGCACTATGTTGGTAGCTGGGGCTGTTGTGAGGCATGGAGGGGGGAGGGGCTTCAAGTGAGATGACTGTTGTCCTCCCCACCAAACGACGGCTCCTTGCCCCAACTAAAACATTTCCTTTCTTTGTCAAAGGAAGTTCTTCATTAGGAAGCTTCACGAACAGAAAAATAAAATCTCCAGCTCATTGTTGGTTCTGACCTTTGCATGCAACTACTGTTTATTGTATCGCTGTTTCAATTTGTGTGTGTGTGTGTGTGTGTGTGTGTGTGTGAACAGGCGTGCCATGGTTGGAGTGTGGAGGACAACTTAAGTCAGCTCTGTCCTTGTATCAGGTGTGTCCCCAGGATGGTGCTTGGGGCATGGGATAAGTGTGATTACCTACTGAGCATCTCTCTGGCCTACTCACTCAGTGTTTTACATGAGATCTGGGACCCATTCTTGGGTCATTACTCTTGCATGACAAACACCCCATCAACCGAGCCGTCTCCCTGCCTCCTGACCTCACGCCTGTCTGCCTTCTGTGGACGGTGACTCCAGTGTCACTGCATTTTCATGTCTGTTTAAGTTCCCTGGGCCTGTCTCACACAGGTGTGCCCCATTGCCCAGTTAGGGATGCTGGTTCCCTCCTCAGCCGCTCTGATGAGCAGGTGAGATCCCTCACTGGCCTTGGACTAGCACAGCGCTCTGGTGGCTCCATCGCCACAGCTCCCACATTCCCTTCACCCGGGTTCCAGCTTGGCTTCCCACCCGTCTGGCCCCAAAGTGATGGTGTCTGCCTCTCTGCCCTGCGATACATTTCTTCCTCTGGGGCCAAGCAAAGGGAAGGTGGAGAGAAAATCAGAGGGGACCCCATGATTCTGGGCGGTAGACTGGGTGGAGAAAAGCCCCCTCCTCAGGAGCTTGAGGCCATGGCTGGGCCCTTGTGGTGGGTTTGCTGGTAACTGAACCCCACCCCCACAGACCAGCATGGGCAGGTGATGGGCATCACTTGGCGGGAGGTGCAGACCGAAAATCAAGAACCAGGGGCGTGGCCTAAACGCCCCTGCAGCCAAAGGGAGCCAAAGAGGGCGTGGGTGAGGGACCTTCAGGGTAAGGGCGCTTGCTGTGCAAGCACAAGGATGGGGAGTTGAGTCCCAGCACCCACATAAGAAATGTCCATGTTCAGCCGGGCGTTGGTGGCGCACGCCTTTAATCCCAGCACTTGGGAGGCAGAGGCAGGCAGATCTCTGTGAGTTCGAGACCAGCCTGGTCTACCAAGCGAGTTCCAGGACAGCCTCCAAAGCCACAGAGAAACCCTGTCTCGAAAAACCAAAAAAAAAAAAAAAAAAAAGAAATGTCCATGTTCACACACATGCCTGTAACCCCAGTGCTGGTCCTGCTGGCCAAGGGTCCAGTTCCAGTTTTGGTGAGACATCCTGTTTTAAGAGAATAAGGTGAAGTGATAGAGCCGATCCTAAACCCTCCTCTGGCCTCTTTGTGTGCACAGTCATGCCAGCACACACGTCTCTCTCTCTCTCTCTCTCTCTCTCTCACACACACACACCTCATACCACACACACATGAAAAGAACCAAATTGGTGTTTCCAGGGTGGGGGGAAATCAGACATTGATTTTCAGTTGTCTCATGGTTTCTATTGCTGTGAAGAGACTTCATGACCACAGCAACTCTTATAAGGAAAACATTTAATTGGGTGGCTTACAGTTCAGAGGTTCAGTCCATTATCATCATGGTGGGACATGGCAGCTTGCAGACAGACATGGTGCTGGAGAAGGAGCTGAGAGTTCTGTATCTTGATCTGCAGGCTTCAGGAAATGAGCTGTGTCACTCAGTGTAGCGTGAGCATAGAAGACTTTAAAGCCCCCCTTCCCCCAGTGACACACTTCCTCCAACAAGGTCATCCCTATTCCAACCACACCACGCCTCCTAATAGTACCAGTTTGTGAGATTATGGGACCCATTACATTCAAACTACCACACCTGGTAGATGCCTCATCCTCCCGCTTCAGTTTGAGGTCTTTCTGAAGGCCATCCCAGGGTCACCTCAGAGAGAGCACACCAGCCGAGGCCTAGGCTGTCCGCCTCTGTGGGATCTTGCAGGTGTGGACACACCCCATTAACACCTGCACTCTGCTCTCCCAGAATCTGTCTGCTGGGCTGGGGAACTGGACCCAAGATGGAGGACATATGAAACCTGCCCCCTACCTGTCACTGCATACACCAGGCTGTGCCTTGCCCCGCCTCTGGCCAGCACAGGGAACTTTGTGCTCTGACAAGACCCCGGGTGGGTGCGCCTTAGAGCGCCGCTGATGAAGAGTTAGAAGGTCCGATGCACGTGCCCGGGGACTACTGCTCCAGTGTGGTACCATCACCTCCATGCCACAGCGGCAGTGCTGTGAGTGGCCAGGTTTTCCATGAAGTTAACAGCTCTTGGTGACGTGCCAAACAAAACACAGCTCTCTCGGTTTGCACAATGGTTGAGTTCCTGGAAAATTCAGTTTGTCTAAAAACTGTACAAACCTCCCTTTGTCACGTAGACTACGGGACATTTCTTCTCAGGCATGACTGTGTTGTGGGGTCCCTGCCCTTGTACTCTATGGCATTGTGATCATTAAAAATAGCCTTGGAATTTCTCAACTTGTCCCACAGGAGTGGCCACTGTCCTCACCTAGAACAAGTGCTCTCTTCCGACGACGGCCTGCGCTCGAAACTTCACGTTTATTTATTGAGTTCTCTCATCAGCTTAAGAGGCCAGTGCCAAGAAAACAAAAATAAAAACAAAAACCCCAAACAAAAACAAGACACCAGGCGGTGGTGCTGCACACCTTTTAATCCCAGCACTGTGAGGCAGTGAGTTCAAGGCCAGCCTGGTCTACAGAGTGAGTTCCAGGACAGTCTGGGCTTCACAGAGAAACCCCGTCTCGGAAAACAAAAGAAAAGAGAAAAGAAAAGAAAGAAAACCAAAATTCTGGTCATCAAACATTTCCAAGAGGTCACACAGCTGGCGTGAGAGCAAGCCAGGCCTGGGATGGCCTTCAGTCAGATCCTTGTGCTCTGTCCCAGTTTCCTTCTAACTGTCAAGCCCTGCATTTTGGGATCTGTGGCCACAGGGAGCTGGGGTAACGAGGCTGAGAGCAGCTGGGCCTCTGGCAGCCTCATCTGAGGTATTAGTTACCTTTCTCTGTGCTGTGACAAATGCTTAGCCAAAGCAACCTAAGCAAGGGTCAGCTTTTAGTGTTAGAGCTCATGCATCTTGATGGGGGTCAGAGTGGGCAGAGCACGAGGTGGCTTGTCACACAGCATCTTTACAGTCAAACACAGGAAAAGATGGATACTGGCCCTCAGCTCACTTCCTCCACCCATACTCATGTTCAGTGTGTGTGTGCGCGTGCATGCGTGCGTGCGTGCATGCGTGTGTGTGGTCTTCCCTCTTTAGTTTATCCTCTTTGAGGAGTCCCCTGTAGACATTCCAACAATGGAGATCAACCGTCACACTTGCACAAGGCCTGCAGAGCCTGGGTTGGCGGATGGAGCAGTCTCAGACCCCCTTTCTCAAACTCACCCGGAGGTGATTGTCCATATACCACAGAGGGACCTGAAGAGGCGGGCAGCCAGGTCCTGAGTCCATTGGCCACCCTCACACTCCAATATGGGCCCCGGGAAGTAGAAGTACCTGTGTCCGGCTCAGATGGCACGCTGCCAGCAAACCATCCTTCTCTCCCTTCCCTAGCCCTGGGCATCCCTGGCTCCTCACCTCTTCCTTAGCCCTGGGCATCCCTGGCTCCTCCCCTTCCCTAGCCCTGGGCATCCCTGGCTCTTCCCGGAACACGCATCTCACATCCCACATTCTCTTCCGGTATGAAGAGAAGCACGCAGATCTTTAAGACCCGGACTCAGGTGTCTTTGGTCTCTGCTGTCCACGTCCTCAAGCACATGAGCACCAGGAGCCCCGGGAAGGGCCTCGTGGCCCTGTGTGGCTATCTCCCACACCGTCCCTGCTGCTGCAAGGTCTGACTTGACAGAGGGCAGCTGAGACCCGGCCCCTCGGCCACTGCTGCCTGGTGGTCTCCTGTCTTACAACACCCCAGGAAACGACCATGACAAGCTCATCCCCAGGGAACAAACATGACAAGCTCCTTTTCACAGGAGGAGAAATTGAAGCTGAAAGAGATATGGCAACATCTGAATTTAGAGCCAGGGGCAGCTACAGGATTGGTCCTGCTTGCCTCAAATGCTTCCATGTGGTTCCTGTCCCTGAGGATAAACAATACACAGCCTGGGCCCCAAATCTCAGGGGTGCTGGTCTGTTTGGAGACAGCCAGGTCTATTTTTTTTTTTTTAGGTTTATTTATTTTAACGTTATGGGTGTGTTTGCATGCATGTATGTCTGTGTGGCATATGCATGCAGTACTCCTGGAGGCCAGAAGATGGTGCCAGATCTCTGGAGTTAGCTGTCATAACGTTGCTGGGAACTGAAACTATATCCTATGCCAGAGCAAGAAATGCTCTTAACCACTGAGCCATCGCTCCAGCCTTACATTTATTTTATTTTATTTTTTTCTGGGGTGGTGGCATGGTGGCTCACATGTCTCAGTGCACATGTGGAGGTCAGAATTTGTAGGAGTCTGTTCTCTCCTTCTACCAGGGATCGCAAGGACTCAGCACTGCAGGCTTGGTGGCAAGTACCACTTGGATGGCCTTCGACCTTTTTCAGAAGTGCTCCAGGCGGTTCTGACCAGCAGCAGTGCTTTGAATGAACTTGACCTTGAGCCAGGTTTTGAAGGATGGCTGTTTGGCAGTTGCACACAAGAAACACCAAGGCTTGGGGGTAGGGCTGATCTGGAGGCAAGAGGAGCCCTTTCCCTGTGCAGGGTCTCCCAGACTGAGCCTGAGCCAGAGAGCTGGCGTGCTGCGCTAGGGGTAGCTTGCTTGGGGTGCTCTGCTGGGGAGGCCTTTCCTGGGGGTGCCCTCCTGGAGATGTGTCGCTTGGGGGTGCCCTGCTGGGGCTTTCCTGCTGGGGTGTCCTGACTGTGTTCCTTCCTTATGGGTAATCACATGCTTCCCCAGGGAGCTGTGTTTGAGGGGCTGAGGGCGTGTGAAAGCGCACAGTGGGCTGTGTTGGTCCAGGGCCTTCAAGAAGCAGTCATGAAGTTGGGAATAATGCTGGAGACCGTCTGAGGGGAGGTAAGTGCTTGAGAGAAAACCAGCAGGAAGAGGAGAGAGGCCTGAGACTACCATGCAAGTCTGAACCCGAGGGAGGCAGGGAGGACAAGGCCCGGAGGAGCGCCTGCCCGGGGGCTCTGACATTTAAAGAAGACTGTGCTTGTCTCTTGTCCCTGTCACTGCCTGGGAGGTACTGGGGGCAGGGGGCTACTGTAAAATCATGTGGTGGGTTCATAGGGCTGCAGAGGGCCTGGCAATCTGAAGTCTTTCCCATGGCTGTCTGGCCAGTTCTCACTGGGAACACTGGGTCTTTAAGCTGTGACTGGCTGGTACACTCCGAGTCTTCACACACATACAGGCAAGTTTCTCAGACTTCCCAGGCTGCAGTCCCATATGTGTTTCATAGACCCAGCAAGATAGTTTGCTCACCGAACTCTTGAACTCTCCTAAGAGCAGTACAGTGCTTACCCGGAGGTGGAGACTCAGGATGTCGGCCTGGGTTTAGTTCATGCCAGGCCCTCGTTTAGGTCCCCGCCACCCCCTCCAACCTCTTTAGTTATTGTCCTTTTAGCCGTTAGCCATGCCAACCAAGCCATTGGGAGAGCGTGAAGATACGGACTCACTCAGAAGGAACCTTTCCCTGTAAAGCAATGGACAGCTGTGGAACCGTGCTCACTGCCCACTGGCCCATGCAGAGCGCTCACCCTGGCCCAGTGTGGAGGCTCGGGAGCCTGGAGCACAGCAACACATTGGGAGAGGGCCTGCAGTCTGCTCCTGCTTCTCCCCGCTCTGGAATCCAGCATCTTACCCTTGGACATGTGGCACTTGTCAGATACTAAACGGACACAAACGCACGACCCTGGGTCTCAGTCAAAAGGCTGATGGGAGGTGGGGAATCTCACTGCTCTGCCCCAGACGTTCCTGTCCTTCCCCACGTTAGGTGCGAGTTATTCTCAGGATAAGCTCAGTGCGGGTCATTCCAGATTGATCTTGAGGCCACAGGGCCCCCAACTGTGACCTCACTGTGCAGCACAGACTTCCTCCTTACCCTCCTGGTGACCCCATCATCTTTGCCACCTGGTGCTCCTTGAGGCAAGTGACTCATACACAGAAACCTTCCCAGGACCAGGAGGGACCAGGCCAAAGTGTGAAATAGAAACTAATCCTAAAGTAGCATGGCTGGGAGGCGGGCAGCCCGTCACCAGGAGAGGGGCATGAAGCCTGGGAGAGGAAGGGAGAAAACGCCAGAAGAGTGGGCGGGCAGGGGGTGTGGGGAGGAGCTCTCTTGAGACTGAGCGTCCAGAGGGGCAGGAACCAGGTCCTATACCTAGGGCCTGGCAGGCGGCTCGCATGCAGTGAACTCTGAACGGACACTTGGCTGACGGTCTGGTTCACTTTGCAGAAACTCGAATAGTGGCTGCAGACAAGAGTGAGGATGGCGTGGGGACGAGAGGCGCTTCCTCCCCACTGGATAACAGTAGCGGAGCTCTTTTACCCCAGGGTGGCAGCCCTGTGAGAAGCCCCAGCGGGACCAACGAGGAGCCTCCGCCTGATCCTGGGTAGCTTGGGGAGGTAGCTCAGTAAGCTGAGCTTTTTGTCAGCGCTCGGGGCACCATGGTCAGCTGTTTCCAGCTGTGGACACTGCAGAGGTCTCCCGTGTCCCGTCTGGCAGCTGCTGTTGTCACTTGGCTATGGCTAGACCAGACCGAGTGGTACATGTGGAGTAACTGCACTTGGATTTCAAAGATAACCCTGTGAGAAAAGATGGCTCACTCAAAATTTTATGTTATGGGTGTTGAAATGATAATGAATGAAATAATACTCTGCCGAAATGATAATATTTAAATAGACTGGGTTAAAGAATATTAAAACTGACTTTACCTATTTTTTATGGTTAATGTGGTCAGTAGAACAGTTTAAATTATATTTATAGTTTCCATTCTATCTCTGCTGGTCAGCACTGCCCTGCATTGGGTCCACATTTGTTTTCTCACAGGTCTGTTGTGGGGACAGGCAGTCTGCCTGTGTGGAGCAGTTTCTTTTCAGTCTGCCATGCAATTGCGTGACGATGCTTAATGAGGTCTCACATGCTTGGTGAGGTTTCAGGGACTGCAGAATCCTCAGGAATCCTCCACTGAGAGCTGAGAGTCTTGTACCTCAGGACACAAGGGACCTCCAAGGGTCACCCACCAGGTAGTCAGTGATGGGGATTACTTTGGTCACACAGCGTGACCCAGATGCCACCTAGAGGGGACTCATTATGATTATATATTGATGGAGAGAACTCAGACCTTGATGGTGAGGAAAGGCCTCTGCTGGGAGGAGGAGGCAGAGGGGAGGAAACAGGAAGTGAGCCGGTCAGTCAGAGAGTGGCTCCGGAGGTCGAGGGATGAAGAGGACTTGAACCAGGAAGAGGAAATCCCAGTGACCCAGTGAGCAGCTTCAACAGAGGTTGAAGTAATTTGACGTATTTACTTTAAAGGTAATCCCTTCCATGTTAGCCTATATTATTTACATGGTAGCTGTTGAGTCATGCCTGAGTAAGTCAATAGTCCCCTTCTCAGGGGCATCGCCATGTAGACAAATAGATTATAAACAAATGAATAAACCAATAAGACTTTTATTCATTCATTTGTTTGGTTTGGGTTTTCATGACAGTGTTTATCTGTGTAGCCCTGGTTTTAGTAGTGCTGGGATTAAAGGTATGTGCCATCAGGCTAAACCAATATGACTTTTAAGGTTAGCCAGGCAGTGGTGGTACATGTCCTTAATCCCAGCACTTGGGAGTCAGAGGCAGGAGGATCTCTGTGAGTTCGAGGCCAGCCTGGTCTATAGAGCAAGTTCCAGGACAGGCTCCAAAACTACACAGATAAACCTGTCTTGAAAAAAAAAAGACTTTTAAGGTTGGCTACATATGTAAAGAATGAAATGTAATAGTGACTGGAGTGGGCGGAGCCATGACACCCCCTTTCTGTGCATAATATTAGCATGGGAGTGAAGATTTGACGATGAAGAAGCCACTACTGAGAGAGATAGACTTGGGACAGCAGGTAGCCGTGTGGGCTCACTTGGGACAGCAGGTAGCCGTGTGGGCTCTCGTCTGGTTGGGTGGACAGGATGGGATGGAGGAAACTCGGCAGGGTGAGGTATCTTCGTCTGTGCCTTCCTTTGTCAGGGCCAGAGCTACCGCGTAAGACGGGATTGAGGGTGAAGAGGGCACACGTCCTGAGTGGACCTAGGAGCTTCCACGAAAATTTTGGAAATTGTCCTGTGTGGTCCTCCTTCTTCCTCAGGGATTGCTGGCCACCAGTCCATGAGGATGGAGGGAGCAGAGGCAGGGAATAAGGATGGCTGTAGATGCAACAAAGGTAGCCCTCTGGGATATGACTTCAGTGAGACCCACTGTATATGGAATGCGTAGGTTTGGGGAGGGTAGCTAGGGACAAACTCTAATTTGCATTAAATGGCACACTCTTATCATACAGCTGGACCAGGGGAAGCACAGCTCTATCAGATTGGCTAGAGCATACCTAATTACCATGTGGGCATCAGGGGAAGAATATTTGCAGGGAACTACGTCAAGGGTCATCCTTGAGATAAGTTAGGCATCTGGGCCTAGAGACATCCTCCAAATAAGGGCAGGTAGAGAGCAGAAGACCTCACTGGGGAAGAGGTCCTTCATTTTGCTGAGCTTGGAGAGAGCTGCCGGGCTATGGCAGAATGCAACCTCTACCCAGCAGGGCCTCCCAACAGTCCCAAGGACCATGGATGGTTGAAGGGTTTTGAACAAGATAGAGACCCCATCAGCTATGAAAGCGAAGGTCACTCCTGCCACGATGTACTGAGCAGATGGAGGAGCCGGGGCCCCGTCTCAGGGGACTGGCAAAGTCGTCTACGTGAGAAAGGAGGACATCCTGAACTGCGGGTGGGACTCATGACAACAGAAGGGGCAGGGAGCGAGATCACAGGGTAGAGACAAGACTTCTGTATTGTCTGAGGGTTTGATGGTGATGGGAGGAAAAGATCAAGGAACACCTGCAAAGGGTTGATTTAGGACACTGGATAATGCCCGGCGATGGTGATCGCACACCTTTAATCCCACCACTCGGGAGTCAGAGGCAGGTGGATCTCTATGAGTTCAAGGCCAGCCTAGGCTACAGAGCGAGTTCCAGGAAAAGCTCCAAAACTATACAGAGAAAACAAAACAAAACCAACCAAACAAACAAACAAAACACTGGATAAGGGGTGCTTGATGCTCAGTGGATACAGATGGAGGAAATGAGAACAGGTTTGGAACCAGTTGTGATAAACCCACATTAAGGAATCTTTCATCATAAAAAAGATTGGCATACTAAAGTATGCTACAGCATGGGTAAACCTTGAATATATTCCACCAAGTCAGTAGTCCCACTTTTGGGAGCCTTATGGTATAGAGAAATAAATTATAAACAAACAAACTCTGGCCCTGGGTGAGTTTAGGACCCTAAAGGTCTTGGCAGGGGCAGTTTCTAGTAAATCTATCCCCAGGGTTCCTTCCTGTGGCATGGAGTCTGATTCCCCAGGTTTCCCCTATTTCCCAAATGCCAGGATATTTTTTAAAGATTTATTTATTATGTATACAGTGTTCTGATTGCATATCAGAAGAAGGCATCAGATCTCATTACAGATGGTTGTGAGCCACCATGTGGTTGCTAGGAATTGAACTCAGGACCTCTGGAAGAACAGCCAGTGCTCTTAACCTCTGAGCCATCTCTCCAGCCCCAAGGCTCAGTTTTATAATCCCAATTTTTGCAATAAAAGCTCCCTTGTTTCTGGCAACTAGGAGGCCTAGCCACAGGGCATGTATAGACTTGTAAACTCTGTTTCTGTCTCATATCTTCCCTTTCTTTAACACAAGCAGACATTTGAAGTGGGGGCGCTGGTGACAAAGGTCAAGATGAATATGGTTGCTGGTCTGTAGTCACACTAGCTAATGCCATCCTCAGTTCCCAGGCCCAGGCCTGAGGGTGTAGGGGTTGGACCCTGACCCTGTCCTTACACCCATAGGACAAGACACAACACTCAGGAGGAGGTAGAGAGACGGGGAGCAAAGGGCCTGGTGACCGATGAAGCCTAATGGGTCCACAGTCTGGGAGACACTCCATTCGGTAGTGACATCTGTGGCTTCTGCTGTCTTGACCCAGGTGTGGTGGATCCATCCATGGTGTAATGCCAGCTACTTTTACAGCTACAAGAATGAAAACAATCACCATGTAGGGTCCTTTCTAAGTTGGTTTCAGGGTCCCTTTGACTCCCCGCCTGACTCAGACTTTTGGACTTGAACAAGGGGACACTGGTGGTGGATTTGGAGGTGGCCTGGGTTTCTCAGATAGTCCAATGAATAGCCTTTATGGAGAACTGGAGGGCTTTAGTGAGTTCCGCTAACTGCTGGTCACTGAGCCTGGGAAGCAGTGGAGGAGGTCTTCTGCACATAATCTCAAAACCGGTAAATGCCCCCTTCCCGTATGGGGTGCAGCAGGCCCTAAGTGCAACAAAGGAATGAGGTATATTCATCTGTCTTAGTTAGGGTTTCTATTGCTGTGAAGAGACGCCGTGACCATGACAACACTTTAAAAGGAGAAACATTAATTAGCGTGGCTTACAGTTTCAGAGGTTTAGTTCATTATCACCATGACAGGACATGGTGGCATGAAGGCAGACATGGTGCTGGCTACATCTAAATCAGAAGGCAACAGGAAGTAGACTGTCTCACTGGGCATGGCTTGAGCCTATATGAGACCTCAAAGCCCACCTCCACAGGGACACACTTCCTCCAACAAGACCACACCTACTCCAACAAGGCCACACCTCATAATAGTACCACTTCCTTTGGGGACCACTTTCTTTCCAACCACCTTTCCAACACCCTTTACTGGACTCTAATGAGAGTTTTGTTGGACTTTTTTTCTTTTTACCTGCTCAGAACTCTGATGTCTACATGCACAATGACACGATGAAGTTTTCAATTGAGAGATTTTTGCTATGAAAGCCAGCCTACCCCAATGTTAGTGGGAGGTCAAATCAGGGGACTAGTTCCTGGAGGAACTTTAAAAGCTGCTATTTAAATAATTTCAGTCCAGATGGGGAAGGCATCTACCCACCCAGGAAGTTCTTGTATGCTCCCCTACTAGTCTGGATCTTGGTAAAGTCAGTTTTCCCAGAGTTCTCAGGGATGCTGGTCTCTCATTTGGACCCCTGCTTGGGTAAGAGCTCTCTGTCTGGATTTACTTGAGCACAAACCTGATATCTGGCTGACACAGAAGAAGATAATTAGTGCATTGTTTGGCATTGAACCCCTGTCAGCCCAGATCTTTTTTTTCTTTTTTGGATTTTTTAGGTTTTGAGTGTTTCAATCACATGAAGCATTGGTTGAGAAGAAGACACAAATCATGAAAAACAAAGGAATAGAACTTTCTCTTTTCTGTCAGTTCAGGTTCAGCCCAGGGGACCTTTCCTCCTTCCCTGAGTCTGCTCGGAACAGCCATGCAGGAGAAGGAATGCTCAGAGACCTATTCTTCTCTGTGTCCATTCTTGGATGACAGGAGTCCCTGGACGAGAGGTCTGGCCTCCACACCTCCACACACGGCCAACCCTGACTGTGAGCAGGAGACAGACAGCAAAACAGTGAGCGCTTCTGCTCCTGGAGCGGGACAGGCGGTGTTTTCTTTTCTCTTTTTTTGTGTGGGTGTTCTCTGGTTCTCTGGGAAACCTGGAAGAGGCTAAAGGATTCAGGTCCCCAACAGGAGTAGGCACAGGTCTCAAGCCAGGGGTTTCTCACACCAGAGAAAACGTTGGTCAATACAGGCAAACAGAACTGACAGCAGCACATAGAAAGACAGACAGACAGACAGTGTTTGTTAAGGACAGGAAAGTGAAGGCAAATATACCCTCTCCCACTGCAAGAAGACCCTTAGTACCATGATATTTCTGCCCAAGTAGCTACAACTTTGAAAAGCCTTGCTGCTGGTGAGCCAGGAAACCCTAGCTTGGAGCTACAGGTCATGGGTACCAGTGAGAGAGTGGAGCTGGAGCTTGGTGCCCTGTGTGGCAGGCATGCAGTGTGTGTGGGCTACCTTATTACCTGTCCAAACAGACTGTGTGCTTCATCTCTGAGGTGCTGACGGAGCTGTGACATTAAATCTCCTAGGAACAGCAGACGCTGCACCCATGAAGTCTCACTAACATGACTGCCTGGTGTGTGCAGAACAAGGGCACCAGCAAACACGACAGACAGCACAGGGAAAAGCCCAGGAGGCCTCAGGCAACTGAGGAAAGCTGGGAGCGGGAGAGGCGGCCTCCCCAGGGATCAGCACAGCAACTGGCTGTCCGGTCCAAACGGTCAGCTCGGAAAACATACACACAAGTACATTGTATGGACTCAAAAAGCCATATTTGGGAACCTACATGTATATACATGATGAAGAAAGAGGCCATGAATTTGAAGGACAGTGTATCAGGGTTTGGCGGGAAGGCAAGGGAGGGGGAAATGTTGTAATTACAACATGATCTCATAGCCAGGCGTTGGTGGCACATGCCTTTAATCCCAGCACTGGTGGGGGGGAGGCAGAGGCAG